ACGGCGCATATATTCGGCTTCAGTTAGACATTCGATCGCTGATTGCATTTTATTCACGTATTTTATTTTATTATCACAATGCTCAATTGTTTTGAATCGTTCACGACGTTGATTATCACCCTGATGTGGAATCAGTGCATAGAATTTATTTGAATATTTCGAGTGTGGCATCTTATTTTCGCCAATTTTCTTTTTCAAGCACTCAAGTAAATCTACGGCACGGTTCAAATGCAATAATTGCGGTATTCCAAGCGGAAACCATTGATCAATTAAATGAATTAACAGCTTTCTAACCGGTTTTTCCAATGCGGATTCCGCTTTACGACATTCCAGGTGTCGAGCATTTGCATACATAAGATTTAAACGTGTAAATCCGTATGTATTCCGTTTTTTATTGATTAGATTGCAAAATTTGGTTTTTGACATTTTACCGCAATGTCCCTTTATGCCTTTCATTCCAATTCGTCCATGATATCGTAGGCAGGTTAATCTAAATTGATTCAAATAGTTGAACAAAAAATTAAATTTACGAAAAACAAATGGATACAGTTAGTTTAAATTGGACGTAGCTTCATTATGACGTTAACAAAATTTCTTCTAAAATAATCATGGTGTACTTACTTTCTATCGATTTTCGGTAGTAAGAAAACAGCGAATTTATTGACATGTTTCTTTTGCACACTTTTTCCGTTGCTTTTTTCCATCCAGGATGTTCCAGGAAAACTGTTTAATCCTCTTGGATCAGTTGAATCACCAACATTATCCGCTTCATTTTCAACATTACTAGATTCCGTCAGACTGTCGGAGTTACAACTTGGCCTATCATTGTCATTGCCTTCATTACTGGATTCAGATGAGCTGTCTTCTTTGAAAATATCCACTTTGGATTTCTTCCGAGGACTTTGAATAGGTTCATCATCACTATCACTATCACTGTTACTTTCATTTTCTTCACCGTTTCCATTGTTGCTGTCAGGCCCATTCTCAGGCTCACTTTCGTCTTCACTTTCACCTTCGCTGTCGTTTCCATTTTGCAAATCGCTATCATATTCTTTGTCTTCTTCTCCGCTGTCATCACTATTTTCGGACAATTCATTTTCAGGCCTATCATCGATAAATTCATCGATATCATCGTCATCATCATCTAGAAGCTCAAGGTCCGACTCGTTTATATAAACCTGCATCAGTTCATTCTCGCTATCTTCATCGCTATCTTCCATTTCACCTGGATTATTGGTGCAACTGATGTCCACCTTTGTTAAAACTATCACGTCATCCTCTAGCACCATTTCACGCTACATGAAAAGAGATGTAATAATTAAAATTGTGTACACAATAAATTTCTTTAATATCGATCGAAGTGTAAAGCATAAATGCTAAGAAAAAAAATAAAATTTTACCTCTGGATACTGTTTATTCATGAGCAATGACACAGTGCGATCAACAGCATGTTGGTAATAATAAGACATTTTCGTATTGATATTGTTGACACTCTTCGATGATATTGTGTGGTTCTCAATCAACTAGATCAAAAATAATTGGAATGAAAATAGAGTTTAAAAATTTGTGTATAAAATAGCTTCGTTCAATCCATAGCCATAGGCACGAAAGCAAACACTTGTGCTATTACTGAACAACATTATGACATATATGCGTGTGTTATGACTGTACAGTGTACATTCGAAGAACAAAACGCAGTTGCGCGCCAAAATTCAGTATCTCTGAAAACCACTCAGACTGTGAATATGATAATCGCTATATTACCTAACCAATCCGTGTTTTGCTACATTCTACGCTTATCACAATACATGGAATGCATTTCAATACACGATCATACAATCCCATCGTTTATAAATACAAGCGCATGTTTCCTTAGTGTTACCTTAAAATTTTGTCAATGCCAGCAAAATTCGTTATGCACATACACAAACAAACGTACACTTTCAATAAGCATGTGTTTTACTTAAGTAACATTGAAATGAAGCAGTTTTTGTTTCTTTTTGGTTTACCGTTCGTCCGCCTTTTTCTGTTGTTCGCAGAATTTGAGTTTGTTAATTTTTTTTCTCAATGATTTATAACACAGTTTTTTTTTTGCAATTACAAATTGTGGCGAAAATTGAACGAATAATTTTTACTTCTCTCTTTTTTAGCGCCCTTCAAGAGTTAACTCTTATATTTATAATTATAAACAATCCAAAAAAATAATATCTGAAATGCTTGAAAATGTTAATTCACTTTTATCCGATTTATTTTTCAAAATAAAACCTGGTGAAACTACGGCACACAAATTTATTCTAACCGACTTGAAAAACACCGATCGTTTGTTTGGGTTTTAGTTCCATACGAGAGTCTTTTTGACGTAGCAGAGAAAGAGACGTTTCTACATTGAAACGAATACCTTACCTTTCTACCTTCACACACCAACAACATGTGAATGGTAGAAAGAGATCAATATAGATGGCATATGTACTTGCTTCATGTGTGCGCATGTGCGCATACGAGACTGTACACGAACGAACGACTGAGTGAATACGTAAGAGTGGCAAGTCTCTTTTGATCACATACGAACGAAATGCGAGTGATACAATATACGTGTCAATGTGAAAACTTCACACTCTTCGCTGCGTTAAGTTGTTGACGTTCGATTACATATATGCATTGTGTATAACACGAAAATTTGCCGCTCGATTTACTCAGTGGCCATTAGATATATCGTTTATATTCCCATTTGAAATGCAAACAAGTTGCTGTTTGGGCAACAGCAGGTTTTTCGACCATTTGCATTAACTTTGAATCTAGATTAAGGCATTTCCAATCATCGTATGAAGAGCAATTCGGAGATTTTTGATATCAAGTAAAGCCAGACGTTAAGAAAGAAACGTCGGAAGATATCAAATTCTTGCAATTAAAGATTTTTCTTCTGCGAATTTGACTCAACACTTCGAGGAAAACTCCTCAATTATAATGGTATTTCATTTGAAACAACAATGCTCGGCCATGCATTCAAACAGTTCGTTTCTGCCGCCCATCTTATATTCTGCCATCCTAATTCAGTGTAAATTTGTGTCATCATCTCTATCCAAATGATAAACATTGTTATATAGTTTTGGTATGACACCATTAAGTGATAAATAAAAGCCATTATTTTTAATGAATGGAAATGAGGTGTTATTGGGGGGAAAAATGCAAGAAATGCAAAGGAGGTGAATTCTTTGATATATGTTCGAATGCATTAAATAATTCTCATTTATTTCGGACAAACAAAAAACAAAACTCTCCTTTAATATTTGATAAACACCTTTGAACAACGAAAAATATAAACGATTAATAGATAAATAAATGGAACAAATAAATTACTACATGGACGATTATTAAAATTACCGTCAGAGTGACCAATAGAAATAGTTGGCTTCAGGATGTCGTCACACGTGGATCGAAATTCTACATCATTTTTGTTCAAATCTCTACGACGACTGTATTATTATGGACAATTGTTTGGTTGTGCTTCGTTTTCGTATTCACCAAAGATCGGCGTCTATGTCAATCCAACAAATGTTGTTAGTCTTTGTTTTTTCTTTCTGTTTTATTCGGTAATTACCTATATAAATGTAACGTTTGAATTATCCATCGGTGCCAGTGGCTATCAAGCTATTTTATTTTACGTTGGAATGCGTTTATACGCATCTTGTATATTGTTTTTGGCCTGGAGCTTTCCGTTCAATTTGTTTCTGTACAGGAAGAAAATTGCTAAGCTAATGGAAGACATTATGGTGTTGGATAGTGAAGTAAACATCCATAAAAAAAAAAAAATTTGAGACCATTTCTTCTAAAGAAACAATGACTTCTAAACAAACCAATAAAAATCATTTTTCTTCAGATGAAGAATATGGGCATGATGTCGGAACATACAAATTATTTGCAGCGATATGAGATCATTTTTTGCGGTGCATGTGTTTCAATGTCGGTATCCTTATTGATGTTGTATGTTTTCTTGGATGTCTACGTGGATGGTAGCTTCATTGCAAAATTTGCACTATTTGTATCGTTCGGAGTTTCATTTGCCATTCATTCATTCACTACTGCTCTTGTCATCATATTTTATGTATCGATCCAAATCAAATTTTCATTGTTGAATGAATTTTTCAGGTAGCATCTAATTTGAAAATCAATCACAGTTTGGTTTATTTATTTTAATTGGAAACATTTCGTTTTTTCGTCAATCGCACATCTAGTTCAATTTTCACTCCTTCGCCCACAATGGTTACACCACAACGTCTGTCCTCAATTGAATTACAACAGCTGGTATTCAAATTGGCAAAAATGCATGATAAACTGTGCACATTGTTTTTCCAAATCAATCGTTACTCATCAATGGTGGTACACATATCAAATTCGAATTGTTGTTAATGCTTTGAAACTGAAATTTTTTCATTTCCTTTAAGTTGATTTCGGCACCATTGATAATGCTTGTTCTGACTTTGTATTCGTTGGAATCGCTGTTTGTTGGCTTAATCGATGGAAATGTAAAAATCCAAATGATGGCGTATTCTTTTCTGTACTTTACCATTCACGCATATCTGGAGATCATAATCATAGTGCATGCAATTGTCTCAAGTGGATCGACCGGTAGATTTACAGGCGTATTGGTTCATCAAGCCCTAGTCAAGACAAATGATTCCGAATTAATGTTGAAGGTTCCATTTTTTTTATACTGAAATAAGTTTACGGTTCATAGATGACAGCATGAAATATGATCTTTTTCAGTTGGAGCTATTTTCAATGCAAATAATAGTCTCGAATCCTAGATGTTCTTTGAGTGTCATCGATTTTGACTGGAGTTTAGTTTTCTCTGTAATTATCCAAATGTGGAATGTATAAACCCTTAATTGATCTTCATTTCATTTTTTCAGTTTATTTCAGCGACATTTTCATATTCAATCATCTTGATTCAATATCAGTTTTTCTTATCATCAGCAAACAAATGAACACTGTTACATACGAAAATTATACCCAAGGACGCCTTTTTGAAGGGATGAATATTAACGTTAATGAACGGGCACGTAGTGAAGTAATTGATATATGGTCAATTGAAAAATACATGAGTTAAATTCATCAAATATTTCTAATATTCCGGATGAAAAAAAAACCCATCGGCGTGACATGCTTCATACAAACGGAATTTCGTACAAGCAGCGCCCGTGTACTTCGTAGTGGAAAAAAAGTGAAGCTTGCTTGTCACCAATATTGATGTTCACGAACATCAAATTGTTTATGCGTTATTTCGCCCATTTTATGAACTGGAAATGAAAAGTTCTTCAATTTCTAGCAAATTTCACATATGAATTCATAAACACATCGAGAAAACACAACTTTTTTTCACATAAAAAGCAAAAGCAAGATGATTTTTTCGTTGATGGTTGTTCGATCCTGGATCGTTTGTGATTCATTAATGATTTGCAACACATCCATTTTTGATTTCGATATTCCAACTGAATACGATGTTTTGTATTCATTAAACAATTCCATTTTGATCAGAAAATAATTTTTTATTAAAATGGCTATGACGAAAAACCACGCGAACGATTGCAAACGATAGCACAAACATTAATGTCTAGGAACATCAAATACGGAAGATTAATGATTTTATCATTCAATTTCTTCCTTTGGCGTCGATTTCGCAATACAATGGGACGGTTGATTGATTTTGTCATGTCGATTTAGGCCCCAATGCTTGATGCCTTCCAAATGTTTTTCGATTACACTGCGTTTGCCCTTATTGGAATGTTGAATGGCAAAATTTAAATTATCACGGAAATTAGTTTGTCTTCTTCGACATCGGTGGTGGGCACTGGGCACTTCGTCGGTCGATTCGGGGAACATCAGCAAACCGGCAGACTGAAAATTATTTTATGTTCGATTAAATGCGTTCGATTAATTGTTTGTCGCCAATAACAAATTATATTACATTCAAAGTTGATTTTTGAAGATATCTTTTATAAATGTATACTTAAAAATCACAATAGAGATTTTATTTGGAATGAAACAATAAAATACAAAAAAATTACCATTTTTATTCTGAAAAAATATAAAACTTGCAGATTAGATCAACACAAAATGTTTGTTTGCTTGTATTTTTATTTATTTTGTTTTGTTGCTTCACATCGGCGAATTAATTTGACATTTGTGTCGAACTTCAAGTCAGTGTTTCCCGATGAATTCGCTTTGACAATAATGTCAATTCGAATTTGATGTTCCTAGACATTAATGTTTGTGCTATCGTTTGCAATCGTTCGCGTGGTTTTTCGTCACAGCCATTTCAATAAAAAATTATTTTCTGATCAAAATGGAATTGTTTAATGAATACAAAACATCGTATTCAGTTGGAATATCGAAATCAAAAATGGATGTGTTGCAAATCGTTGATGAATCACAAACGATCCAGGATCGAACAACCATCAACGAAAAAATCATCTTGCTTATGCTTTTTATGTGAAAAAATAGTTGTGTTTTCTCGATGTGTTTATGAATTCATATGTGAAATTTGCTAGAAATTGAAGAACTTTTTATTTCCAGTGCATAAAGTGGGCGAAATAACGCATAAACAATTTGATGTTCGTGAACATCAATATTGGTGACAAGCAAGCTTCACTTTTTTTCCACTACGAAGTACACGGGCGCTGTACCCATGTGGCTGCATGTCACGCCCATGAAAAAACCAACAAAATATCACTGGAATGGTTCGCATTACTATTTATGAAACAATTATATACTTGTAAACTACTGGAGCAATAATAATTTGATGGGGAAAAATGGAACAAACAATCATGTAAGCAAATTAGTATGTACATGGATGATTAATAAAATTGACATCATTGTGACCGATAGGAATAGTTGACTTCAAGATGTCGTCACACGTGGATCGAAATTCTACATCATTTTTGTTCAAATCTCTACGACGACTGTATTATTATGGACAATTGTTTGGTTGTGTTTTGTTTCCGTATTCACCAAAGATCGGCGTCTATATCAGTCCAATAAATGTTGTTACTCTGTGTTTTTTATTCCTGTTTTATTCTGTTCTTACTTACATAAATGCAACGTTTGAAGCATACACGGCTTTTGTACTCCTTGCAGTTTGGAGCTTTCCGTTAAATTTGATTCTGTTTAGGAAGAAAATTGCCAAGCTAATGGAAGACATCATGGTCAAGGATAGTGAAATAGGTATCCATCATAATTTTGGAACAATTTCTTCTGAAAAGCTAGGAGTAACCTATAAATTAATATCCTTTCAGATGAAAGATATGGGCATGATGTCGGAACATACAAACTATTTGTAGCGATACTATGAGATCATTTTCGGTGGTGCATTTGCTCCAATATTGGTGGGCTCGTTTATTTTCTATGTATACGCAAACTTCTACGTGGACGGGAGCTACATAACAAAATGTGCACTATTTACCACATATAGACTTTCGTTTGCCATTCACTTGTTCTATTGTGCTCTTGTCGACATATTTTTTATATCGGTCCAAATCAAATTCTCGTTGTTGAATGAATTTTTCAGGATATTTCCTAGCAGAAAGAACAATATAAATATTTGTTGATGCAAAACATAGAAATACTCCATGTATTTTGTTGACGATTGAAGCAAAGCATATCAATAGCGCCGCCTAACATGATGCACGAATTTTTGCATATGGCGGCACGAATCAACATCTCTGTGCACAATGCACACATAGACTCTTTGCATTCACACGAACGTACACACAAAGACTTTACTTTCACACGTACGTATAGTTATAGAAGTTTTTGTTTGGCGGTGCTCCCAAAAAAGTTTCCACAGCAGTTCTAAACGTCAAACATTGCTACAGCATTGTTTTGATGTAATGAGAAATTTTTTGATTTTTTCAATTGTTCTCTTAGTTTGATCTACTCATTCCTTCGTCCACAATGGTTACACCACAACGCCTGTCCTCAATTGAATTAAAACAGTTGGTATTCAAATTGGTAAAAATGCATAATACACTGTGCACACTGTTTTTTCAAACCAATCGTTACTGATCTAACCTATCGATCTTCCATATCGACAACTGAAATAAGATAATAATTCCAAATTAAAGCGTTTAATATGACCGTTTTCAGTTGGAGCTCTTTTCGATGCAAATAATCATCTTCGACTGGAGTTTAGTTTTCACTGTAATTATCTAATTGTGAAATGTATGAATTCTTAATTGATATTTATTTCTTTCAGTGCATGTCAGCGACATTTTTATATTGCCTCATCTTGATTCAATATCAGTTTTTGCTGTCCAACGCAAATAAATAAGATTCGAAAATGGAAGATTTTTGGCAAACAGGAATGTTGGCTGTTAAATCGACTATTTTTTAATACAATTTGCTCGAGACAATTTGCTCAAGCAATATTTCATTCAGAACGTTTTCGTATTCAGTTTCAGTGCACATGTTCGTATACCATAGTTAAAAATAAAAAATGGTGTGGCACCTCCACATGTTGGCTAGAAACCTCTAAAGTCATTGGATTCTCTGTTAATCATCTCCACTGAAAGTCATTCGATTCTCGCTCGAGTCGATTGTGCAGATAACCACTCCACTTAGCATGAATTTCTGAATCTTAGAAGCTTTGCCTCGCACTCAAAGAAATGTTCCGTTCGCCGTTCAAAACTTTCGATGGTCGAGCTTAAAAATGTCGTAAAAGGGGCTCTCGAGAAGAAAAAAAAGTCATCTAATAATAATAAAGAGCAACGTTCGTCCTCTGAAAGGCATTTAAACTTAAACACGCATCGTTCGTGATGAAGGTTGGATTTGAACGGAGCAAAAAAAAAATGACATCAATCAATTCAAGTGCTTCCACCGTACAAACTGCTTTCTTTGTTTGAGGTCCTATGCAAACAGAACGTAAGAAGACAATGGATGTGGAAGAGAAAATGAGTTTTTGCTGCAGTCTACGGCAGCAGCAATCAAGCAAAAGGTGTAAGACAGACAAATGCATATAGCATATACGATATTTCGCCGATGTGAGGATGGAATAGAAAGGTACTTGAAATCACTTGAATGATGATGCCATTGTTTGTGTTTAACGGTGAGTGCATTTAACTATACAACCCCTGTAGAATGATGCACTTTTAATTTATATTGTGCTCATGTGCTACCTCCAAGCTAAGCGTGTGTAAAATGTTTGCCATGCGTTGCACTGTGCCATATATCTGAACATGGTGTGCAACGGATCTTGAATGATTGGGTGAAGAAGGAGCATATAGTGTATTCTATTTTGATGGCAGTCGTCGGCGCTTTTTTTTCACTCGTTGCCAATATGTGTGCAATAGAGAGTGAACCGGAGTTGATGATGCGGAAATGTTCGTTGACTATTAAAGCATTCAGTTGCACTGCGTGTTGTGTGCATTGAACGCACGTCTGGTGAACCCGAAATCATCTAGTCGCTCATAAATCAAGCCAAGAGTTGTCAGATTAGCTACGATTATCGATGAAAAGTTATGTAAAATGCGATTGTACCATTAAAAGCCACATTAGAGATCATTAAGCGTTCTTTTTTTTTGTCTGAGAATTCACATGCTCTTCATGCAGGAACCATGGTACTGCGTTTTTTGATGTTGGATATATTACTTCTGCTTGATCTTTGCCTTTTTTCATTGCTCACTTATTATTTCGCTCGCATTTAAATTCCAGCTGCATAAATAAATGGGTGCAAAAAGGAGAGAAGGCAGTGTGTATGTGATATGTTCCATTCTTTTTGGTATCATCAATCATCTATTCGTCATCCCTTTCTGCAAGCGAACGATGTAAAGGGTTGCCAACAAATTGCCTGCGCTTTTTCGCTTTTGAAGATTATGAGCTCTTGATTAGATAACAAGTTAACTACTAATTTTAGATGTTTCAACGAGATGCGCTCGATGAAATCTTATTTGTTGATTGACTTCAAACATTCCGCTCTTTTGTGCGGTTGATTACAGTTTTTGTGCTATTTTCTTGAGTGTATCTACTAAAATATACCAACGATTTGGATAATTAGGAACTTTAGACTATTATTATTATTATTATTATTGCAATAAACGAGCAGTTATTATTGTTTAAAACAGTCCGTCAACTTGATATGATAACTTGCATTTTGTTTTTCGCTTCTGTGTATGATTGTACAAAATTTTCAAGCTATTTTTGCTATTTCATTTGTGGAAAGCCTTTTTGTGGAATAATTAATGGATGTTTTTGTCTAGTCATTTCATAAGGCCGTATGTTCAATTCGTTTGAATCAATTTGAAAGGTAAACAGAACAATACTAAAAAAAAATGAATTTGATGCACCAAATATGGATTTTGTTATTTGTTTGGTTTTGTTTTGAACACACGTCTGTTCTCTGTACAATGTGAAAAAAAACATACACAAAACAAAAAATGTAAATTATTGAACTGAATGCATGACTTTTGGCTTGATATAGTAAATCGTTTGAAAACGATGATTTTTCAATGCAATTGATTACCAATTCTAATTGTTAGATGTGTGGTTTATTGTTCAGCCGATTCAAATTCATTTGAAGAAGAAGAAAAAAACTGTAAAATATTTGTAATTAACATTTATTACACACATTACATACGTATGGTTGCTTTCGTTTTTGTGTGTGTGTGATGTGTTATTTTCGATTTGGAGTGCATATAGCTGCAATGTACCCTAATTAGTTTTCGACGAAGAAATGAAATCAGCGCAGATTTCTCATGGGGATGACTGAGTGAGTGTTGGTGTATAATGTATAGGAGAAAAGGAATCCAGAGTAAGTCATTAATTGGACTGAACCATTGCGACAAACAAATTCCCTCAAAATATTTTAGTTTTAAAGTGCAACATAAAGTTTTTTTTCATATGGAGTTGTTGTTATAAACTCTATATAAAAAAAATTCATGTTGCACTTTGAAATTAAAATATTCTGATGGAATTTGTTTTTCGCAATGGTTCAATTATCCAGTTCATTTGAATCACGCACAACGCTCATACACCACCGTATTTGTCGAAACAGTGGCAGCCGGTGGCGTGTACAATTCTTTCTTTCTCTCGATTATTATGTTCCATTTGTTATCGCTATCGATGGTGGTATTGCTGCTTTCATTGTTTTCATCGCAAATTACTGCAACAAGATTGTTTCATGAAGTGGTCGAACGGCACAGTGCGCCCAACATGTGTGTCTGCGCAAGTGTAAGTATGAATGTACCATGTGCTGTTGCTTGAATGACATTTTTCCAAATAGTTTCATTGAATTACGTGGTTTTTATTAAACCTATTGAAACCATGCGAACGGCTACCCAACTATTTGTATACAGCAACAATCGAATAGAATCCATCGTGCAACGATATACGTATTTTTTTGCCCAGTTGCTATTCCACTCGAAACACGACCTCGTCGACGTTCTCTCCTATTTACTAGTCTCCCAATACACACAATTGATTTTTAACATGCTCACCGAATGTTAGTATAATCATGTGTTTTATAAGTTAATGATATGCAAATGTGTTTTCTTCTTTTTCTTCTCTCTCTCTCTCTCTGGATTTTACTATATTCACCGACGACAAATTTTACTATAAATAGTAAACGCTCGATTAATCGGGTAATTGTTGCTGAAAATTTGTGGTGAATACATGGTGTGAACACAGTTTAAGTGCGCTCCGTGTTTTTGTGGTGCTACACTTTGCAGTTTCTTCAACATATAAAATACATCGTATCTTAATAGACATCGCCCTGGGTGGATGTGAATTGTGAATGCTTTGGTAAAAATCCAAACTTGAATTAAGGTGCACAAAAAGTACGGTGCTCGAAGTGAAGTGAATTGGAAAATTTTCCAACGGATTTGTATACAGCAACAGTAATCGCAAAAAAAAGAAGAAGAGAAAAAAAATTGTAGCGAAACTCTTTCCATCGACCGATACTTGAAAAAAAAAAACATTGTGCTGGCGTACAACATAAAACGGTAGAGAATAAAACAAAAAATTGGCTTTGAGATATAAAAACAAATACGAAAATTGAGTGAAAATGAGCGAAATCGCAAAGTGGTATAGCAACAAGAGTGTGTTTGTGACGGGTGCGACGGGATTTGTTGGAAAATGTTTGGTGGAGAAATTACTGCGCGATTGTCCAGATATCGCCACTATTTACATAATAATACGCCCAAATAAGGCGAAGGGTTTCAGTTTTGAACAACGTAAAATGGAATATACAAATCATGTGACTTTCAGTCGACTTCGAGATACAAATCCAAGTGCCTTAGATAAGATTCATATTGTTGAAGGCGACATTTGTCAACCGAATCTGGGCATGTCGAATTCGGACCGGAAATTAATCGCCGAAACGGCATCAATCATTTTTCACAGTGCAGCCGATGTACGCTTCGATCGACGACTCATTGATGCCTATAGAACAAACGTGAGCGGTAGCAAAAATGTTCTCGATTTTGCTACTGAATTCAAAAATATACTTGTGAGTAAGACGATTAACCAAGAAAAAAAAGGTGAAAAATAAACAAAAAATGATTTCATTCTTTAAACATAAATAGGCGTTTGTTCTTGTGTCAACGGCTTTCTCACAACCAAGCGATATTGGTAAACTTGAGGAAAAACACTACGAAACGTCTATTACGCCGGAATTAATGGAACGCATCATTGAAAATATTGATGAAGACACACTAGACATTCTCACACCAAAGTAAACTATTTTAATTTTGACAACTCAATGCAAATATTTTCATAATTTTTGTTTCTCTATCTCACAGAATACTCGAAAACCATGCAAACACATATGGATTCACAAAAGGCCTGGTTGAACAATTGGTTTATGATTATTCCGATCAATTTCCAACAGTTATTGCGCGGCCACCAATCAGTAAGTGTAACGATTGGCTACGAATATTTTACCGTTTAACCCTCGCACAGGCACATGGTTCTGGCCAGGCATATTTCGATTTTGGGCGTTTATTTAACATACTTCTAATTTAGCTATCGACCTGAGATTTCATGTAGCTGCCTGAAATTTTATTGGCTTTCGATCTATGTATTTAAAAATTGGAAAAAGTCCTTAGAACAGGACGAAAAAAAAGGATCCAAAAAGACACCTTAGTTCAGGCACTTGGTGCCTGGCCAGACCCCTATATATTTTGTATGAAAACATATGGAATATAGTGTGTTTTGATGATTCTATGTGGTTTTTTGCCTCTCTTACATTACCTCGTTTATTTTCCTCAAGACAGATATCATTTATCACTAATCAGTTTCGCGAAATACGCGAAAAACGCGAAAAATCGCGAAAATTCCCCTTCTCATTATACACGGTACTGATAAGAGATAAGTGATATCTGTCTGCAGCAAAGTTGTAGAGCAGGTCAAGTACTATACTTTTTGTGAAGATACTATCTCCTTATCTCTTATCAGTTTCGCGAAAAATTATGAATGATAAAAAAATGATAACTCGCGTTTTTCGCGATTTTTCGCGTAACTGATAAGAGATATTGAAATGTAGCATGAATAAAATTATAGAACTCAGTCTGCCTTACAAATTTGCTGAAAACACATATCCCTTATCTCTTATCAGTTACGTGAAAAACGATGAGGAACAACGCGTTTATCTCGCGACTTTTTTGAGGTTATCTGCGTATTTTGCGTAACTGATAAGAGATAAGCGATATCTGCCCTCACAAAATTTGTAGGGGACCTTGAATATTACAACTTTACCGAAGATACCAAGCCGTTATTATCTTTTATCAGTTTCGCGAAAAAACGCGATTCTTTCTTATCACTTTTCGCGGAACTGATAAGAGATAAGAAGATATTGTCTTTGAAAAAATTGTAGTGCTTGACCTGCTCGACAACTTTGCTGAAGATATATATCACTTATCTCTTATCAGTTCCGTTAAAAATGAGATGGCATGCATCACTAATTCCCATACAAATGCATGTAAATGCATAGGGGTCTGGCCAGGCACCAAGTGCCTGAACTAAGGTTTGAAAATATGTGCCTGTGCGGGGGTTAAAAAAAAAATCTTGAACAAGAAATCTTGTCATTGTGGAACCCAGGCTATTTATAAAAAATAAACTTGTCAGCTATAGAAAGAAATGAAGCAAAGTTCAAACTGGTAATTTACCAGTTTTAGTAAGTCTTTAGCCCAAATTTTTTTTTATGTCTCCACTATACAAATATGCCAAAACAATTTTTTGTCGTTTACAAAATCTTTAGACAAAACTAACTTTAACTCGCTCAATTTTCTTTGAAAAAAAAAAACAGTAATTACATCATGGAAAGAGCCACTCAGTGGATATACAGAAGGTATTCACGGAATAAATGGTTGGGCCTTAGCTTCAGGTCGCGGAGTACTACGGTAAATGTGTTTTATTCTGAATAAATTTTGATAATTCAATATCACACACACACGCACGGTCGATTTGTTGAATTTTGCAGTTCGATGTTATGTCAAGAAGAGTACCCTTGTAACGTTATGCCAGCCGACATTATTGTGAACGGTATTATAGTAGTGGCCGTTGAGTGTGGTAAATGCCATGAAAAGAGGTAAAATATATCTGTTTTGACTTGTGAATGAATGTCGTCATCATCTAACTACCTTAAAAAGGGTCAACCACACAAATTGATCTATTTATTTTCTCACCATTTAATGAATTTTACGAGCTAGACTCGAAGAAGAAGCAGACGCAGTAGAGACAATCAAATCATTTGAAGGACCAATGTATTTCAATATCGTCGAAGAGAATCCGTTGAATTGGAAATACTATCTACAGCTTTGTGGTATGCAGACGAGTTTTTCGTTTGTATTATTAGCATATTCGAAAACACCCAAAAGATGTTGATCATTTCTTTCATTTTCATTTGCTCAATGTTGAATTTAATAGAATTTCGAATGAGTCTGATGTTTTAATGCCGTGTGACGTGTTCATTTGTATTTATTGGACTATGTAAATTCGGTTGGTTGTTCGATTGCTTTATGTGTGCGGTGATGAAAAAGGAAGTGAAAAAGCAATACACATTTTGCCATTCCAATCAATTGGATTTTAATTATTTAAGTAGTTTTAATTTACATTCAAATCGATCGGGTATCATTCATTTATTCTGGACATTTTTTTTCGCTCGCGTTATCTGTTTCTCGCTTAAGCACGTCTGTGTATAGTTCAATGTGAATTCCCATTCCAACTTTCACTGCCTTTTTTTCCATTGCATTATTCAATTGTACACAACACTAACACGTATTTCATTCAAATTTAAAACCGTTCATACTCCGTTGTGAACTTAATCAATTTTTGTGCCGTGTGTTTTCAGTGAAACCGACCCACTTGAAATACCCATTCGATATGGCACTTTGGTATCCAGGAGGAAGTTTTAAAAAGAATCGGTTACATCACTACATTTGCATAGTCTTGTTTCAAATAATACCGGCACTGCTCGTTGACTTGTTGTTAATTATATTGCGACATCCGCCATTGTAAGTATTATTACCATTTTGTTGTATATAATTTTTAACTAAATTTTTGCCAACCATTAGCCCCGGCACATGACCGAAATCCACTTTGCAAGTGCAATTCATTTTAATTTATACAGTAATTGAAAAAAAAGAATCGAAACCCACGTTTAACTTTTCGATGGTTGGATTGGCAAGAATGGACGAGAAAATTCGAATGAAATTAGTCCAATTAATCGATGAATCGATTTTAAAAATACCTACTACGCTCTCTCCTCTTCCTCTTTATTTATTTTTTAAAAAAATTAACTCGAGTGACCGAACCGGTTTACTATCGTAACAGTTTGCTGAAAGTTCAACGATTGGTGTTCGCTGGCAGCCAAGCATTGGAATATTATATGATGGAATTGTTCGTATTCAAGGCATCTGCCTACAATGCGGTTTGCAGCCGACTCAACAATATCGACCGGCAAATATTTTATGACCGAATGACGGTAAATTGCAAGCGATATATAAATGCTCTTTTTCTGACTTTGCCTTCCTGTATAATCCGTAATCCCATTGTTTTTTCTTTGTTTCAATAAATATTTCATGATGTCACATTTGACGTTGATTTATGTAGATGGATATGGATGAATATTTGCAGAATGCAGCATGTGGGACTAAATTATACTTGTGCAAGGAGAAGTTGGAAAACATACCAAAAGCCAGAATATTTTGCAGACGTCTGCGGTTCTTGGATATATTTTCAAAAACATTGATGACTTATTGGATTGCAAAAAAAGTACTCTCTTATTTCAATGTTCATCTATCGATTTTCTAAGGTCCATTGAAGAAATTTTGCTAAAATGATGCGGCTCATTCCGAACACAATAAAATTCGAATTTTCAAGTGTAAAAAAAATGTACTAATAAAAAGCATATTCATTTCAAACATTCCCAAGTGGTTTTTATTGCATTTAATAAGTGAACAAGGTGAACGATTTTATTTCAATTCACGAAATGCGTATAGTACAGGAAAACAAATCTATTTATGGATTTCTACCTCACATAAGGCATGGGTGTAAATATATTGATCATCATGTGATAACAATGAACATATTACAATAAGTTTGTTCGTTACAAATGCATGTTGAATTGTATCTTTGTGCTATTTACGTGAGAGTTATAAATATACACTTACATGATTTTAATAACAGAATATATTAATTGAAATTAATCAATTTAATAAAATGAAAATGTGTTTCTTTGGATCCATCTATAAATGATATTCCTATATTTTCTTTTCTTCTTGTTCGGTCAAATCTTCTGGAAACATACTTTATTCCACATAAAATGCCAATTTATTATTATTCATGGAATATCGTATTTAATTCGAATTTTAATGTGGCCAGCCGATTTTGGATTTAAAATTTTAATTTTTTTTTTTGATAATTAATGGTCAGTGCGCATAATAATACCGATCTAATCAACGTATTTTGAATAAACTCGTTTCTGTGGAATGGTACACTCGATGTAATATGTTCATTATACTGACACACATTTCGAATGATGTGTACGTTTCCAATTGAAATATTCATTGAATATATTTTTTGGAATGGACATAAAAAGATGACTTTTGTCCCGAAAGAATGAAATTTCGAGGCAGTTGATTATATTTTCATTGTTTATTTATTCATAAGATTTTAATAATCATTACACTTGCTGCTAGACTTGCTGCCACTTCATATGAAAGAGATTCTCGTTAACGAATACGATAATAGTTGAAAAATAATATTTCAATATTCCTGTTGAAAAGCTATGAAAATCTTCATCTATCGGAATTATCCATTATTGAACCAACTAGTTTTTTGTTGAATTGCAATCTGAATTGATCACAATTTGTTGGAATCATCACAATTTTTCAAGTGTCAAATTTAGTTTATCATGTAAACGGTAAATATCAATGATGATCGCCCGAAGTTCAGCATCAACCACATCACCACCTTTGTCAAGTACCTTTCGAACGATTTCCTTTACTGGCAACGGAGCGAATTCCAATGGTTCTTCGACATGCAATGTTTGCAAAAACGATGATGCTATCGTCAAACCAAAGGGCAAGTAGCGAGCATATTCTTCCAAAAAACTGTCATATCTACCGAAATATAGAAGTAAAAAAATGTAATTCTTATTACTTTATTACCCGTGTGAAAAAATAGTAACTGAGCAGTCAGTTAACTAATTTGGGACAAAAATGACTTACTTTGATTGACATTTCAGTACAAAGTGTAGTGTAAGTCTATCATAGTTAACTGAAATCATTTGAAGTTACAAGTCAATCTAAGTTGCTTCATTTGGGACCAAATGATTTTCTTAGAACAAAAATATAAATTCAATCAACTAAAGTCAACTGAAGTTATAGTCAGTCAGTCATTTCTTTTTCACACGGGTACCTACTTATTACTGTAATAAGATGGACCTATTACTTATTACGCATCTTATTACTTGTAATGAGATGAGTAATAAGTAATAAGTCTATCTTATTACTGTAATAAGATTGTAATTGTAATAAGATTGTAATAAGTATCTTATTACTTTTGGTGCAAAAAAAAATCGCAAAAAAAGTTTCATGTAAAAAACATGTCAATTTTTGTCAGACGAAAAAATGTTGAAAAAAAATGTGTCTTGCAAAATTTGATATGATTTTTTATGAAACTTTTGAAGAAAAGTTTCATACAAAAAACATGTCAATTTTTGTCAGTCGAAAAAATGTTGAAAAAAATTGACATGTTTTTTACATGAAACTATTTTTGCGATTTTTTTTGCACCAAAAGTAATAAGATACTTATTACAATCTTATTACTGTAATAATATGGACTTATTACTTATTACGCATCTTATTACAAGTAATTTGTAGTAATAAGTCCATCTTATTACAGTAATAAAATGAAAGAAATAAGTAATAAGTAATAAGTAACTTATAAGTTACTTCTTACCTTACTTTACTTCTATATACCGAAACAAGCCGAAATTGTATCGCAATTCAAATTTATTGTAAAAGGCTACTGCAATTTTTCCTTTTCCTACTACTTTTAGATAAAACTCACTTTAGATACGTTGGAATATCGCACTCGTCCCACTTTGATGTCGTTAAAAAATGTGCAATCAGTGATTTATGATAGGCCGCGAAAATGTCCCAAAAATGTTTATCACGCACTTCCCATCCTGTTGAATTGGCAATGAACGTGCACAAGTCCACCATCGGCGATGAGTAACGAATTGTTTGAAAGTCGAACATCATCGCTTCAACCGCTTTTCCATCATCATCATAACGAAAAGCGATGTTGTTTCGCAAATAGTCACCTTTTTACCAACAACAAATTATCATTAGTCCAAAAACGTTCATTGAAATTCGTGTGGCGGCTGTTGAACGTCAGAGTCATTTGAGGCGACGCGAGCGCCCCCAATTTCAAAGGGCACATCAATGTAATTTAACATTTCAAATCGGAACTACACAGCGCGCCAATTCGAAATATAGGAAAATATAGTGTCAACAGCCGCACCATGTTGAAATTCTATGTCGAAAAAGATTGAATGGATTTTCAAGGATAATGACAATTGAAAATAGTCACCGTGACAGATAATTGCGATTGGTTCAATTGGTTGAATACGATTTCGTTGATAGTCATATGTTCCGTACAAAACGTGTTCCAAACGTTTCAAAAATGATTCAGGTACAATTTCCGGTTCCGTTTTGGATGCACGAACACTATTCGTTGCTCGTCTTATGCTCAGTTCAAGCCACAAATTCCAATCATCGGAAGGACAACTACCTTTCCCAAATCTTGATTCAACCAATTGACTCTTGATGGAATTGAATGTGTCGGCATCAGTTAGTTTCAATGCGTACATGTTACCATGAAAACGGCCCAGCTCTTTGACTTCAATTGAAAATAATATTTGAAATTTTGTATGAATGAACTTACTGAAATCGTTTTGTCAAGTAAAAACAGCTAATTGCTTACCAGCAATCAAAATGTGATCAATCGATAGGTTGACCTTCGATTTAGACATTTGCCATCCATCTGTTGAAAAGTCGGAAAGTGCAATCACAGCATCCAAGAATTTATTGTGAGAATAATAACATCTGTCAAAAGGTCATAAGTTTTCCGCTCAAAAACATACACTTGATTTCCATTCATTTCATTTGTTCTTACTTTGGTGATTTCGATAACGACTCGATTTTCGGTATGACGTACTCATAAGCATTTATTTCATTTGAAAATAGACCATGCATGCAGAGTTTCTCGTATAGATCTGGTTCCACTTCGGGTGCAAACTATAAATAAGAAAACAAGGACAGTTTCCTGACATTTATCTGTTAATTGAGCTACTTCAGTGTTAGAAATTACGGGTTAGAAAATGTTAACGGAAATTAATAACCACTTTGAGTTATAGTTGAGACATATTCACACAGCAAGCGACATTTCATTTCTTACGGAGACATTTTATATTGCGGCCCAGAGCCTGTTTTTTTCGGAATCTTCTACCCGATTCGGGATGTTCCAAATCCAAATGTGCTGCTCTAATTTGAAAATCGGGATGTTACTTTTTTCATACGTGAGAACTATAATCTGACGTTCAAACACTATATTCAATGTCAAAGTATAAAAATCAACACTTTTTTGTGGATATTTATGTTGTAGAAAGTCGATAAATTTGTTTGCTTTGTTCATATTTTATTTTGACCAGATTTTCTTTGAATTCAATAATGAATCGATTCCAAGAATTCCACCTATTTATTGCTTTCTCATCTTATGTCTATTGGCCGAGGTTCGGTGTATATCGCGAATCGTTGAAATTGATAAATTGCAAACTCGTCATGCTCAATCCACATGTTTTTGTTTATCCAAAATATAACTGCAGCATCGGAGTTGTTTATTCGAAAGTGCTAATTCTGCAGAATAAAATGTTTCGACTGTGCAACGACAAATAAAAAAAACAATTGTCTTGCTGAATTTCATTTGTATCACCAAATAAACGCAGACATGCTTACATTCAAACTTTGAAAAATTGGAGCACCAATCGCATATTAATTTTAGTTGCGGTCATTCGTTCATTAAAATCATTTGAATGCAGTTGTGCTCATTATTTTGCTCTTCGAAACTACGTGAGAATTATTAACAAAAATGTCTGAGGCAAATGCCGCTATTGCGCTTACTCAAAGTCAATCCGATACAAATCCCAATCAAGATGTATCTGCAGCTGCGCAGTAAACATTGTGTTTTAACTTTCCCCTCCCATTACAAAAAAAATGTCATTTGTTTATTTTTCAAATCGGGATGTTCTAAAAATTTGAAAAAACAGGCTCTGTGCAGCCATTGAATTTCAGAAAACAAATTTTAATAATAACTCGGAATGGAAAACATAAATTGAAAATAGTAATGATAACTACGCCCCGGAATATCCATTCAAAAGAAATTGCGTGGGGTTTTAAGTGAAGAAATGGAATTTTCTGAAATAAAAATCATAAAAATATGTCCGATTGACGTCAGCATTTAGACACACTTTTGAACAAATTTCAATGAGTTTAAAAACAAGCACACATACATTTTCTAGTAATTAAACAGTTGGTAATTCTCGAAAATGAATTCTATTTCAGATCAAAGTTCTCAGATCAGTTTCGTTCTTACCTTCACCACGATATCGAATATTTTTTCGTCATCACTATCGTCGTTATCACATTCCACGTGTGACTTCGCTACTTTTACGGAAATTTTAACAAAATAGCAAATTGTTACCATAAACGCTACGTCAAGTGATAATTCCCGGATTTCAACTGACTGAATGACGATGTGTTCGGATAGCTTTTTGCATGCGATTAATTTTTGATTTCCAATTAAATTCAATACCAAAAACTCTTTTATCCATGTTCTATGTTTGGTTCGCAACTGTTCCATTTCAGTTCGTTTTCTGGGTGAATAAAATCACGATTTAGGCATCAACTATTTGAACGAACGGATAAACCTTCAAATCACAACTGAGCCATTTGTGGCGCAAATCGTTGGATAAATATTATTTGAAATGATATTTTATTAGCGATTTTATGTCGTTTTGGCGACAGTAACGACTTGCAAAAGCGATAAATTGCGAAGGTAAATTACATTTCGTTATCTACTTGACATTGTGCACCAGAGAGAAAGAGATTCTGACGGTAAACGTTTGCATTCTAAACGACACGACAAGTCTGTTTCAGTAGGAAAAAGAGTTGCAATTTTCAACAACAAGGAGATTTATTGTAACAATAAACAACTAATCTCTGTTAAATTTCACTACAAACAGCAGAAATGAAGTTCAGATAGTCAGTTCATTTGTATATACAACGATTATTGTTTTTTTTAAATTGAAGGTGTGCCAAACTGGTGTTACTGGTGCTATAATATCAAATCATGTGCCGCTAAAACCATTCAATTGAATATAAAAAAACTATAGGAAAAAATACTTTAAACCACACGTCGTTTGACTAGTGAATTGATAACAGTGGCCAAGTGAAAGCAAAAAAATCGACCAAATCGAAACGGATTTGTGTTTTTCCAAGCTATTATTAAGTAAAGGTAGCATGAATATCGTGTCTATAGTGATTTAAGAATATTGAACGAAAACCCATTAGAGAGTGACGTCAATGTTGGAAAATTGAATGGAACTGGGTTAGTTTGAACTTTGCCATCTCAACTAAAATTCGATGGAAGAAACACGAAAACTAAAAATGGAATTTTTTGTTTTCTTTTCTCAATTTTCTCCGGCTTTCATGACACGCGCATGATGAATGGCAGACGATCGGAGTGAATGAACGAGTCAGAAAAACGGCGAAAAAAAGATGTCATGAAAACACGAAACACACAAAAAAGTGAACGGCATGAATGGCCGTCTGTTTATTGAACCTTGTTTCACATTTCGAAGTGCACTTAAGCAATTTTCTCTCAAAATGCACCCACATTGATGAACATCTATTGGTTTCGTCATTTGCTTGTCACACACCAGCCATTCTTCTTGCCATGACGACTTGACAGCTCTTGTTGCACGAAACACAATCGCTTCACTTTTTCTATCAAACAACTTCTTCACCGAAATATAGTGCAATTTCACAATTTCACTTTCTCCCTCTCTCTCTCTCCCTCTCTCTCTCTCTCTCTATCTCTCTCTCTCTTCTTTTTCATCTTCTCCTACGCTTCCACGTTGTACCAGCTCTCGGTTTTTTTCACTGTCGAATCTAAATTCAATGGCGATGATTGAATACACGTTGCTCTAAGTGAAGTTTATGTCAGCAGCAGCAACTAAACATCATTAATATAAATGTCGATATACTCGTTGAAATGGCTGTTGTTCACTTGCGCGACATCGAAATTCTTTTTATTGCCGTTTATCATGGCAAACGAAATATAAAACTCCTTGAATAGCAGTACTATTCACTGCTATCGACAACATTCTTATATGGTTTACACATTTATTTTTATCAAAAATATTTCATCTAGTTATGGAAATTTATGTTTAATTTTCTGAGAAAAAGGTGTACAAAAGCATACATAACAAATAGATGGGGAGAACAAACATTGACATACAAACCTCCATTTCGTCGAACTCAAGCAATTTCACGTATTTTCATTTCGTTCCTTGTGCAAGATAACGGTATTTTCGGTTAATTTTGTTTCTCTTTGCAGAAGGCCGAATGCCGAATGCCTGCAGCACTTCGATATTTTAATGAAAAATTCCATTCAATTTATTCATACAGTTTAATATATATTTATTTCATAGTTTCATTTTTCTCTCCATTTCTTTCTTTAAATTTCTGTTTCTTTTGAATTAAATCAACAAATTCATTAAATAAATTTACTTAATTTTTTCTCTGTCTCTCTCTCTTCATGTGTGAACGTTCTTTCTGTCTGTTTGCTTACCTAGAATGAACTTATAATTTTTCTTCTTTTTTTATTTCTTTTGTATTTTATTTTAATTTATTTAGTTGTATTTGTTTTTCAAGTATGCATGTAGCATGGGTTTTTTTTCTCCGTTTGTTGGTTTTTAACATTACAATAATTCTTTAAAACAGCATTTCACACACAAGCAATTGGTGTGTTACCTCGATCAAATTTTTTTCTTTTTTTACTTCTCATCAACTCATTCATAATCATAATCACCGCATTTGCATCCTAAAACATTTGTTATCTAATAATCCGTCGTCATTCTATACACAGTAGAGTAATTTTTGTTGTTGTTGTTGTTGTTGTATCTTTATATAATTTTATTTTACATTTACATTGACATATAAAAACTCAATTTACAGTTGATCAGTTTGTTTGTTTTGGATCATTGTTTGTCGATTAGCTGCATCTCTACAGAACAATTTGTGGTCTAAATTCATGTCATGATCGATAATGCCAGTGAAATTATCCATTGTTGCATCATTTTTGATAAATAATGCAGTTTGCAATTGGGTGATTGCATTTGCATTCGGTATGATTGGCTGTGTCGCAGCTGCCACTGCTGCTGCAGCAACGGCGGCGGCGGTGGTGGTGGTGGTCGTCATGGCATATGCAACCAATGTGCAATTAAAATGAATATTTCGAATAAATAATTGCACTAAATGCATCAATAAATTGAACGAAATGAATTGAGACCACTGAAATAAATGCCGAATGCGAAACCAAAAATATTGCATCGTAGAAAATCGATCTAGAATGATTGTTGTTAATGGTAGTGATGACGGCGGTGGCGGCGACTCTGGCTGTTGCTCCATTGGCGCTTGCATTTGTGCCATAATCAAATCAATCGTCTCAATTACATATCGACGCCATTCGAATAATTTAAACCAGAAATTGCACTGGATGAATATAATATTGATGAGTATTGTAAGAAGTAAATAAAAACTAATAGATGATAATTTGTTCCTCGCTGATGATGAAGACGATCCCCGGACTGCATTGCTGTTAGGGTTTTCCCTGGAAACAGAGTGAGAAACGCCTATTTTTTAGTTTAATTTCACTACCGTCCTCATACTAATATTGACACAAATGACATGGAATGACAAATAATTTATTGACCCATTTCGAATATTTATTCGATGCCATGACCAAATTCAACATTATCACATTTTCAGTTGCTACCGGTCACTAATTGGGTCTGGTTTTATAAATAAAACCACGCATACACATAAATTGGTACCATCACCAGTACAAACGATAGTTGTGGCATTTGTTGAACTTGCGATAATGATTTTTCTAGTGATTTATGTGGTCTCTTCTGTACTGTTACCACAGACCTTATCGATCATGTTATCATCGGTGGTGCTATCACTTGAGTAATTATTTAAAGCAATGAAAAATAAAACCAAAACCGAATAATAAACTGAAGAAAAATCCAATTGAAATTGATAAGACAAATTAAAACTATCCTTCAAAACATCTTGATGACGTATTATCGCAGAAACGGCAACAATGTACAATGCACGTTCCACAAATAAAAAAAAACGTGTTAACTGTCGTTGTTATAATACAAATACACGAAGCAATCGTAGTTTTTATCATTGCACCGAGACCGGGAGCTCAGTGCGCAACAAAAGACAACACATTTTATCAGTTCCATATGATAATACAATTTTAGCTCGAGGCACGTGCAAGTGCATCTACATGTACGACATAGTATATGGATGATAGCGACCATACAGAGATTTTATCGTCAACAAAAAAAATCGTCAAAGCAAAACCAATATCAAACGAAACGAAAAATATTCCCGAGTCTCTTTATGTGTCCCTGTAATCTGAAAAGCCACACCTTGGAAAAAAAACACTTCTGATTGAAGTGAATTCAAATGAAACGTGTTGTACAGGGTGAAGTAGTGCAAAAGCGGTCAAAAAAATCTCATCCCTTGAAATTGGGCTTTAAAATTCAAAACTTCAATGATTTTTTTTTTCTTCATTTTAATACCATAATACACGCGTTTTGTTCATGACCCCGAAAGCTCAGTATAAATACAAATCTGACGGTTATTCAATTTTATGACTCTTGATTTTCACTTCAGCGGCAACCATTAATCAAATCGATAATTTTATGGGATTTATGACGATAATTCGAAATGGATCAATTACAACGACAAAATATGATATCAATAACGTTACCGTTTAGCACATGCACTGTAACACTTTTACTTTTGGCATTGGATGGGTTACATTGATACACTCCAGAATCCGATGGTTGGGCATTTTCAATTAGCAAAAATGATGTGGATGCTTCATCTTTCCTCGTTGTCACTCGTATACCGCCACGGGGTGAATCATATGTCACAATCTGTGGATATTTTTGGATCAAATCAATAAATTGGAGCGATCAATCAAAATGAAAAACGAAAAATGTATGATTAAATGAAGTTTTCATTCATCAAAATTGGTCTCTTATTCAAAATGTTGAGAGTACCAAACTGCTCGTAGGGTAGTAATAAGATTGAGCAGACGGTAAGTGGGTCATCAAATATGTATGAGACGTTTTTGGTCAAATTAAAACCACAGCCAACTGAAACAGCGTCTGCTATGTGGCGTATAATCAATTGGTTGTGGTGTGAATCGATCAGTCGGTAGACACCAAACCGAGAATTCTAAACCACTATACCGATTTTAATAATTCAATAGCAATACTAATAATTCACATGAACATCTAGAACTTACGATATTTGAATATTGTTTTTGGTGTTGAACACCGTGAAATCCAGAATATTTAAATAAAATAAGACGAACATCTTATTGACTCCACAAAAATTTTTCGATCAAAATAGTCATAATTTCATTTGTCATTCAGATAAAAACTTGCAAACTATCAGAAAAAAAATTTTTCAACGAAACAAACAAACAAAAATAAAAATTCTAATCGATGGACCTGAATGCATTTCGATGCGTCACACACATTATCATCAGCAGACACGACTGAGTGTCAAGTTGCTTTCTCTCGTCTTTCTCTCCGTTCCGCAATGTCAGCAAATCAAACACAAATTCGCACGTCACACAGACACATAATCTAAAGCAAATCGAATAGCGCCGAGTCGATATTGACTTTGTCAAGGTTCATATTGTCTTTGCTCTTTCTTATGAATATGCTTTCGTATGCGTCTAAACGTCGGTCGTCGTTCACTTGTTTCAATAGTCTCAAATTACGCGGGCCACTCAAATGTTCTTCTTCTAAAGAGTGTAAAGCAACAGCTGACCGATACGCTGCCCATGTGTTGGTGCAGTACGTGTGTTCACCGTATCTTACTTCTATCGGTCGTTTGGTTTGGCCGACATGCTCTTTATTACATTCACAACACTGAATACTGTATATGCCCGATTTTTTTGTCCATTTCAGCTTATTTTCATTTTTGTACACAATCTGCATATTGGATTGTGAGAATGTGTGCGTTATTTTATCGGTGATGCTCGGGTTATACGACATAGCTACGCGTTTTTCCTCAATACAATCGGAGCTCGTTTTGATTTGTTGGAACAATGTTGTTGATTTGTTCCTCTTTGCGTTCAGTGAGTGCCGATGAACGATTTTATCAACAAAAGAAGCTGGGTAGCCGTTGTTTTTGGCTACTGTTTGCATATAATCGTATTCAGTTTTGAAATTTAATACTGACAGTTCGAATGAGCACATTGAATGGAATGCGGCTTTCTTGTGTTGCATTGGGCAAAAAGAATCAATTGTTATCACTCGCATCGTACGATATTTGTTTGAGCAGACGTTAATCTGGAAAAAAAATTCTCGGCCCTGCACACAAAATTCTTGGCACTGTTGGACTCCTATAATTGAATAATTTTCGAATAGTTTTCCAATCAACTCATATTCGTGCACACGAATCAATTGGATGAATTATCGACTCGCGCGCACATGCCACTCTGAAATCTATCATTTTGTTTGTGTTCTCATAATATGTTGAATGTTATTGTTTACTGCTGTCGAAGTTTGTATTTGATTTTTTTCTTCGGTAAAATAGCTGCCAAGTGTGTAACGTACGTAGAGCTTTTTTCGTTGTTCATTCATTCAACGTCAATTATGTGGATGGAATAATTTACTGCACGCAACGGCAATTTTAATTGCAGCCAGTTTCTTAATACACTTTAATCCAACGATAATTTTTTTTCTTTCATGATTACAGCATATTTACCATAAATCAATAAAGAACAACAAGACCATTTACGTCCGCTTGAAATTCCAATCACTACGGAAGATTGGAAGCGGTTATTTTCCTCTCGTTATGAGTTAGAAATTAATTAAGCGTAAATGCACAAATGTCAATCAAGTCGATTCAGTTGAACTTGGGTAGGTACATTAATAATTATCGCATCCCAGTGGGTTGATGTGATAATTACTGGCCATTAGATTGCCTTGAAAGGGGGACATTTTCAACTGAAAAAATGTCAACACAATTCACATAGGTGGAATTCCACCATTGGAATGAAACTCGAATAACCAACGAACATAGTGGAATTGAAATTGAGAAAGAATAACAAATACTTAATTACTAAGAGTCAATCATTGCCATGGTTTGTGATTGTGTTTTTTTTAGACCCGTTCCACTTCGTTGTCATCGTCATCGATTCATAAAGTTGAAATTGAACGGACATTATTTTCAGGCGCCACCGAAATCAATAAAAATTTAATTACGAATGAGAATCGTGAGAGAATAATCTGGAACGCGCACCAATCGATCAAGCCGAGAGCAAGAAGGAGGAAGAAAAAAAAATGAGCAAAAATATGCGCGCTTAATTACTGTGGAATGTAAAAATGCAGTGATTCGTGCATAAGTCGCGTTGGCAAATGTTCCATGTAAAACGAATCGTGAACGATATTGTCGTGCTTTCAAGTTGTTCAAATTGAATTTACACGACGCTCTCTATTGCGCTCACGCTAACGGTGTATGTGTGACGTATGAACAGTTCTCATTTTTTACATTCCATTTGATTTATTTCCGATCGAATGTAATTGAATCACTAATAGTTTGTTATGGACACAAACATTTCTCATACACATCGATAAATACAATCTGCTGGAGCGAATTGATTCATCGTTGGAAATTAATGGACGGAAAAAAAGGGGTTGGACCAAAATTGTACATAGCACGAAAATAAACAAAGTGGCCATCGAAAGAGAAAAAAAAAATTACCAGCCATGTTAATTGAGACTATAGATAGCCGAACAATTGTTTGTCCATTCAACCAAAACAAACAAATTAGATATTATAAAATATGAATGAATTGATTTTTTATACTCACGGCATTATTATGATTCCAGAATATATACGCTGGTGGTTCAGGTGAATCCTCAATAATGCAGGTCAAATTTATGGTTGACCCGCTTTCGATGTACAAATCGGGTGCTCCAACAATTTCGGTCGATGGTTCTGGTGTTTGGATTCCGCATTCATCGTGTATATATAGCACGTAGATGACAGAGATATGGCATGTCGATGCAGCATTACGACCATGAGAACGAGATAGAGTATAATGCCCGCAATCCCATCCGGATAAAAATAATTGAAACGGCGTTGTTCAACCACATCCACCATTCATGTGTATGGAAATATTCGGCAAAAAATGGAAGAAAGAGAAAAATGGAGAGAAGAGATAGGGATAGAGAAAAAGAGGGAAAATAAATTTAAAAAATCCAGATGAAATTGTATGTGTGCGTGTTTTACATGAAATTTGCCAGAGAAAATTGAAATTTTCTTGATTTGCATTTTTTTTTTTGGCGGAAAAGGTTTTTTTCTTTCTATTCGAAAGAAATCGCCGCGAGGCGAACAGCCCAAAAAAAATGACTTAAGCAACGCAGATTTTTTTTCGCAGAAAAAAGAATGAACAAAAGACCAATTTCTGCGAACGACCATTCGAATAGTCATTTTAATTTTAATTGCAAAGTCGTCGATCGGTTCATTTCATAAACTTATTAAACTCTTCAGCATTTTTTCAACCATAAATTTCGCATTCCGCTTCGAATGAACCAAGAAACACGACATGGAGAAATGATGAAAAAATTACGACTAGTCAAATAAATGCATGCAGAAAAAAAAAACTGTGTCGAGTGTTTTAAGCTCCAATTGCGTCGCTTTCGCTTTTCGCAATGTAGAAGAGCTTAATGAAATTATTTCTGAGTTAATTAGCATGTTCGAGATTCTTCTTGTCATTACCTCACTTCAAATTGGCGGCGTGAAAAAAAATTTCAGCGAAAAAAGAATAAGGCGGTGGAAATACGTTTTTATTATGCTACAAATGCTCAAGTAATTAGGGGGGGGGGACAAAGATGTAAATTTAAAGGGAAAAAAATTGAATGTATTCTCAATGGTTATTTTTTTTCTTTGTGCCATCCTTCATAAAACCGCCGTGTCAAACTAATGCCCCGTTGCTGATAACAGTGTACAGATTGTGGGCAAAGAAAAACCGCCATTATTTTATCAGCGACCGTATTTTCTGGCAGTAGCTGAAGAGCAAACGGCATGTTTTGTCATAAATCTAGGAATTCTATTAAAATTAAATTTGTGAAAGTCAGAGTCTGTTGAGAACTTTTCTTGCGGATGTTGAATTGGTTGTAATGCAAATATCAGACCGGATTTCCTTTGTAACGACCACATTCCAAGCATTTTCGCTCATGTTGAAGCGGTTAATGAGCAGTTTTCTCTTTTGATGTTACGCAATGTGGATGTTTTATTAAATGTCAAATGTTTAATGAACGGTGAATCGTGGTTTTCAATAGCAACCAATTCAATGAACGAAACCAAATGAATTTTCACCAAAAAAAAAACATTCTGTTCAATAAATTTCGGTTGATGTGTTATGGTCTCAAATAAAGATACCAATGAACGATATCAAATTTTCAGCAAATCTAAAAGTATGCGTCGGAAATTGATTTTTCCAAATCATCATCATTTGATATCAACGCAGAATGTATACGAAAAAAGCTACCGAAGATCACTAATTGGCCGTATTTCATTTTCATGGGATCCGGCATAAATTCCAGAAACAGAAATAAAATCGGTCCTATATTTCTTGACCATTTTCACGTGTAATATATACGAAAAGGAAGAATTCATTTCAACAATCGCTATGTCAACTCGTATTTCCAGATTGTTTATCAAGCTTTTTGCTTATCAACGTTGCAAATCTGTGCGTATTTTTGGAACTTGTTGTCAAGCCAAAAATTAGCTGGCTCAATGAAAGCGAAAAAAATAAAATAATAATGTCATCATTACTATCATTAACAACGGGAGGTATACTCATTTATGTGTTGAAAAATGGTCGGTCATGAAAATTCATTGTACAACGCAGAAATAATATTTAAATTTCTGACGAACTTTTTCCCGTATAAAAATATCGTATTTCCATCGCATAAAAGTTATCATCAGTTGACGATGTATATGTGCGTTTTCGTTTTTATCATACCAAAATAGTAGCCCACCAAAAATATTGCAGATAAAGCGATTCGTTGTGGATGAGGAGGAAAAGGGCAGTATTTCGTGTTCATATCGTGTGTACTTCCATGAAAAACCATAATATTTTACGCGAATTTATGGAAATTGCATCAAATGACTGAATCGACTCCAACTCTCGCGCTATCGACATAAACTCCCCACGCAATTTTCCTCGTCTCTTTTTTTCCCATCAGTGCGTATAATAATTTGATTGCAGCCCAAAAAAAATGGTTCTGAATGTGACCGTTATGCGGTTCCCGATGTTTGATACACCACCGCCACCGGAAGAAAAGGAAAATAATTCGAAAAATGTGCTTTTAATTGAAAGTTATGCTGAAAAGACGGAGTCTTCGTTTTTGGTAACAAAAGTTATCAACGCTTGAATTTGATTAGAAAGTTTTATGTACACTGAGCCCATTTGACAGCGTAAAAAAACAATATAACTTGAAGCGGTTTATTCGAATAGCACTGAACATTTTTCGCTTTTGGCTTGAATTTCCAGAGTACACACGCGCAATGCTACTACTAATTTTCCTATTTGTAATTTAATTGCTTTCGATGGTGTTCGCATTCTCACGCTCACACGTTTGATGACTTTTCCCCTTGCCGAGGGAAAAAACACATTAAAACGCATGAACTTTTAATTAAAAGTAGATGCATGTCATTATAATTAAAATTCATGAAAGTGGCAAACAAAACGAAATATTATCCGTTGCTGCAGTTGGCAGATTGTCGATCGAATTTTTGGATCAGACATACCACCAATGATGACACGGCGCGTGGCAAAATGAAGAGTTTGTTCTCGTACACTTCGCTCGCTCGCACATCGACTGTTTACATTACTTACCGATGACATTCAAGTGAATGTAATGCGACATGTGTGGCGTTGTTGAAACCTGAAACATAAAAATGGTTGCAGAGACAGAGAACGAAAAAAAAAACATAAAATTAATATTGGTATTGGTTTCATTACAACATTGTTAGTTGAGTAATGCAGTAACTACATCATCAATGTTGCAATTGATGTATGCGGAAAATGTAGTATTGGCATTGGACATTCAATATTGACATCGCAGCCACATAGTCATTCATTAAAAATTTACTGTACAGAATCCAGACAAAAATTGGTAGCCCATTGTGATTTCGCCTGACATGTATGATGTGGTATGATGCCAATGATATATTTATTCCCGTAAGCCAATATTACAGTGTCTGCACATCATTAGTGGAAAATTGCACAACTCACCTGACATTCATAAATGCCAGAATCTCGATGTTGCGGATACTTTATTTGCAGTATCCAATCCTCGGAGTGCGGATGATGTATGGCACGAAAACGTTGATCCGATGTGTATGTATAGCGTCCGACCGTCAGCAAATGAATGTCACGGTGACGCACCCATGATACTTGAAGCAATGACTGAAACGAAATGAAATTATTCGATGAAAAATCGAGGAATCGGTTGAAAAATAAATGCATTTTTGTTATCGTTTGAAGTGTCTTAAATTTCAATTTCCCTTTGCAGTGGATGCCCTCGAAAAGTTTCACTTGATCGTCATTTGTTTGCTGTAAATGCTTGTAAAAGTAATAATTCAAACTGGTGTTGCTGCCAAGCTTGAATTGGATTGCAGTTACCAGAATTTTGAAGCTCGCCAAATAATAGGTCGATGCTAGAAACCAATTCAACCGTTTCACTCATTTCGATATAATCTCTTTTTCAATTATGAAATGCGAGCGAAATCGCCGAAAAAAGAGCATCGCACGCGGTCCAACGATAATTTACAAAAATCACCAATGCCTGATCTGAATTGAAAGTGTATCGTTGAGGCAGTGAATGGCTTTCTAGCCACTGTTCGACTACCTCTTTCTCTCTCACTCTCACTACGCGCCCCACTGTTCAACCCTTTCATCCAATGCCGTTCAATGTCTGAATGAACGCAGCACATAAATAATTTAACATTCAATTTAAATGTAAATTATGCTGCAAATGCTACGGGCTGCTTTTCGGTTTGCGTTTACCACTACATACATAGCATCGGCTCGATATCAGTGTATGTTTGTGTGTTTTTTTTTTTGTTCATGTAAATTGTACAGCATAATCTCGATCATTTCAATGGGCTAAATGTATTGCATAATTTTACGTTAAGCTCACGCAACTTTGGAAACCAGTTCCGAGTCGTGAAATGGTTTCATTTGTGAAACGTTCGTCACGATAAGGATGTTGGAAACCATCGAGATTCGGCTGTACTTGTGTTTTTCCTCATTGAAATTTTATACAAACATAACGATTTGTCTGCGAGTCGTTATTTAATTTTTTTTCATTTCATTTCTGTTTTGTTCAGCCGCCAACTTTATCTAAATATAGCACGATGTTAAACATGGACGAAAGAATATCAATCGCATCGATATGGAAAAACCATGAGCGCACGCATTCCAGGAATTGTGATGTCGTTTTCATTTGAAATTGGAGAGCATTGTTTCAACAATTACACGCTATCATTCGGTTGAATGGGTCTAAGTTTATTCGGCATTTATCAGTTTTAATGCATTGAAAATTTACGTACATTTGATATTCTGAATGGTATTTCTCTGTCTCGTTCATTCTCTCCTCGAATGTACGTGTTCGACATCACCGACGCAATTCATTGCGATTAAACTCAAAGGCCATACATAAGCACCAAAACACGCCACTAATAATTCAAAAGATTATTGATTTATTATAATTATTATTATCATTATTTATTTGCGCGTGTTCTTCGCAGCAGCAGCAGCAACAGCAACAACAGCAGCAACAGCAGCCGTAGTAATGGCAATAATGAAAAATCCAATGAGGTTGAGTGTTATGGGTTAGCCGATGTTCAAAAATCAACGATATCACAAAATGGTAAATTGACGTGAGTAACATGCGTGAAGTAAATATTGAGCGTAAATGCTCCTTGTTTCAATCAACTATTTTTGATGGTAAGTCAGTAGCGGAAAAAAGCCCTTCCAAACCAAAATATCTGAACGAACGAAAGAAAAAGCGATCCCATTGAACCGGTGTGCCAAGCAATGGAATGAGCACGTAAATCAACATGTATATTCCAATCGGTTTCAGTGTACAATCTTTTTCTTGTACGCAGTTCAAATGCACAGACACACGCGCCAAATGTTGATAAATAACCGAATAGCTGAATGAAAGGAAAATACCATATCTCGAGCATGCTTTTGTATCTTTGCCAAAAATGGTTCTGTACTAAGCTGAAAAAACTTAGCTAACAATTTAAAATACATTGCGCCCCGCAAGCCATCTAGATGGCGCCACAAGAAAATTTGGTTCTTATACGAGGTGTATGCTCAAGATATGGAAAATACGTCGAAAAAAAGAGAAGCAGAAAATAGAAAAGCGAACGAACGAACGGATTGACGGAGAAGGAGAAATAATTTCGAAATGTTTGGAATCTATTTAAAAAGGAGTCGGAATAATGTTATGCATCTTTTATATGGTAATTTAAATACCAAATATAGCTACAATTGGAAGGCGTGCAAGCGTACACGAATAACGTGTGTGTGTGCGACTGTGCGTGCTCGTGTGTGTGCACCTTGAGATATAAACCTGATAAATTCGACACACAAAAGTAGAAGAAATGTGCTCTAACGGATATGGTTGCAAAATGTGATTCGAAAGGCCTACACATGCCTACACTTAAATAGCAACTCGGTACTCAGCTAATGGCATGTGCCATTCATTCACATAGGTGTCGTTCGCATTTCTTTCTTCTTCTCTTCCTCCACATGTATTTTATAATTGTTCCACATCAAACAATCTTTCGGCACACGAAACACAAATAAATGATATATATGAGTATGTGGCGCGCACTGTTCATTTCACTCTCATTCATTGAGAAATCTGAGGGTTGTTTTTTTTTCTTTATTTGTGCCCGGCCACTTTTCTATTTGCTTGCACAATATTGCCATTGATGTGGCGAATGTATGGTCTGATATGTCGCCCGAATCTGATGCCAGCCGAAGCATGTGTTGGCAGTCGATTGTCGAATGTTGCCAGCCAAACGGAGTGAGAAGATAGTGCAAATGAAATGTAATAAAGGATGCCTCGAAAAAACGTGTAAAACCAATGATACAAATGGATGCATGTGATGGCAATTGCGACGGTTGATTCATATTCAAGACATTGATCACGTTCAATGTACTCGGTGTGCGCCTTCATTTCGATGATGTTTTTTCCATTGTTCCCATCTCAATTGTGTCATAGCTATTTGTCAGTGGCGCTGTCTTCGTCGGCATTTCTTTATTACGGCCATATCAATGAATTTGAATGTATCATTAAATGAAATGTCGACATTTTTTCTCTCCCTCTCTCCATCTCTCTCGTCACCATTCATCGTGCTATACACATGGCGGCGTCACGGCAAACGGAAACAAAAACAATCAAAATGGGAAAATAAATGCAATACAATGTATTTCTTGTGTTTGGTATAATGTTCATATGACATTGACAAAGTCGATTGCATGCATAATTTCCTCTCTATTTCCCTTCCTCCCTTTCTCACTCTATATTTCTTGCTCCGAAATCTCATGCAAAGTGCCAAACATTAGAACCAAAAAAAAATACATGGTATATAGCCCCAAATGGAGAAGTATTGGGTGTAGTAATTTCGGTGTGTAAGCACTAGAATTATCCACATCAAAAACAAAATCGATGCCAACGAATACCAAAAAAAAAAAAATAAAAACCAACACACACAAAATCCGCACCATCTCAAGTGTGGTCTTATACCTGACTGAAACAGAAAAAAGCGAAAGGAAAGAAGGGAGGGAGAAAGTCAGACGAAAACAATCAACAAAAGCGTCAACAGCAAAGATTTTCGTGCTGAAACTACGTTGCCATAATGAATATCGTGTGCATCGAACTGGCCGTAAAGAGTTTTTTTTTCTTCGGACGCGACATGGCAAAACATGGGAAAACACGCAAGTGCTTTTCTTTTACGAGACTTGGAATTGTTTTCGTGTTTTATTTTAGTTGGAATTTTTTTGCTCATTCTTTCGGTGGTACGCTCTGGTTGTTTTGTTCGGCATTCGATGTTGGGTTTTTCCGAGGTGGTGAGCAAGTTTATGGCATGGGTTGCCACAAAATTACTCCAATTCCATGCGCGGTCGCCGCCGTCGATACTTACGTTTTTTCCCTCTTTCTCTCGATTTTTTATTTTATTTTCGTCCTTTTTTATAGCACAAAAAAACGAGAACAACGTGGCCGATTTACAATTTAATTATCCACATACACACCGAACAGCCGATAACAGCAATTCAATGTAATTCTTTAAAAAAAAGGTAATCAACTAAATTGTCGAAGCCAAAAATGAAGCGGTGTAAATTAAATTTCGTAAGAAACTTTTCTCGCAAATGGTCCTAATTTGTTTTGTGTGTATGCATCTACATGTAGTTGCAGAAAGTGCAGGGTGAAAAAAATGTGAACCAAAAACCATGCTGTTGCAGCTGCAACCACAAAATTTTCTCTTTTATTTGGCCGTTTGAAATACTTTACTGGTTTGCGGTATTTAGCGACTGGCCGTTTTTTTCCCGTCATTCAAGGAGATGAACAGTTTTCCAGCCATCACGTTTTTGGGAACATCTTCTTTTCTATTTTTACTTCAAATGAGCGATTTATTGTTGAAATACAAAGCAAAGCTTTCACATATTATTTTCATTCTCGCTCTCTCATGCCACTCATTCAAGTTGCTAAACGATAAATGATCTGTGGCACTGAGCTATTAATGGAATGCGATGGAAATAGAAATACGTATATCAGTCTAAACTATTTTCATGTTTCCATTCATTTCGAAAACTCTGACAGCTTGAGTTTATTTTTAATTTTTCCAATTCAATTCAATTAATAAAGTGTTCATAAGGAAATTATATTTTTCCATTTATTTGTGCTCTAATTCCTTCTGAAATGCTGTCATACTGTTATGAGCTCATAATAATAATCAGCAGTAATGCGGATTTTTCTCCTGAATAAGTTTGCATGAACATGGTACAAATCATTCACAATGTGCACGTGATTTTCAACCCACATATATATAGCAAATTCTTTCATATACGTTTTTTTTCATTCCGCCATGTGTGCTTAGTTGTGGCCTTACATCAAACTCAATCGATATGTCACAACACATTTCGGTTTATTTCGACACTTTGAATAAAATTTGCTTGCCATAGAGTAGGGACTGAGAATATACTCTATAGAAGAAGAAAAAAACGTGGAAAACGAACAGGAAGTGTCATGTGAATTTCATTTGATGTGTGACTGGTGTTCCACAATACCATAATCATTTCAATTATTCATGAATCTATGAATAATATTTTTACTGTTTCTATAGATATTTCGTCGACGTGCTAATTTTGCCGTTCCCTTGCTTCCATCTTTTGCAGATGAAACAAATCACTTTGAATCACGTTTTTCGTATTTGAATGATATATTTAGGAGAAGAGGGATGGGTTTTTATCCACTCATGTTATTCATCACAACTTTTGCACGGATATACCACCGGTGGAAATACGATGAAACGAAATATTGGCTTATGTCCGAGAGCGAGAGAAAGAGGAAAAAGCGTTAAATAAACTGAAAAACAAAAAACAAATATTAAAGCCATGTTAGTGATGGATCTTCTTCTTTCACAGTAGAGGGAATGTGTTGTCGTATTAAATTATGATTGACGACAGAGTACCGAAATTCGGTGCAATCTTGTATTTCTAGAATGAACATAATAACAAAACAAAATGATTTTCATTCTTTTCCTTCTTCAATTTCTCCTATTCGTCTTTTTTCATTCGTTCCTAATCTCATTTTTGCAGGAGAAAAAAAACAACGGAAGAAAAATTGATAGAGTGCAATATGAGATCAGTTATACCCGGGATTTATGTGTTTAATGCTTTATTTTGCACCAGAAATATTCTCCAAGGTTTCTCTTCACGAACCGACCATGTTTTGCCATTCATTTATCTCTATTTCACATTAAATCCGCACAACTCTCGTCGCCATTTCTTCTATTTTCTCGCCTATTTACTTTTTACCGTTTTTTTTCCTTTCTGTTGCTCGCCGTTACGTTCCGTTTTAAGAAATGATCCGATTTTCTTGTGTTCATTTGTTTTGTTTTGCTCGAGATGTACCATTCCGGAACGGAATAAATATGAGCCCAACGTAAATATTCTTGACATGTTTCATTTAATTTGATGTCATTCGTCGACGGCTGCCATATTTTAAGTCATATCACCAGCGGCAATCCGATGACAGTTATTCGTTAGATAGTGATACGAAAAAAAAGTAACTATTGTTTGGCAGAACTTTTCCCCTATCAAGTTTTTTTTTATTCTGTTGACGTCGGCATTGTCGTCACATGTGCAATTTTTCGGGATACTGGAAAATTTAATGTTCAAACGAATGAGATGAAAACAATTGAGTCCATTTGTGAAATGATTTGGAAGATAAGTCTCGTTTTTAGTTTCCGCCTTTCGATCCATCGGAACAACAATAACGAACTTCTTATGTAGATACACACATACAAAGTAACACCAGAGGCTCTGACAAAAAACAATAACATCCCCCCTTTGCTGGCCGTGTATAAATGAATCTATGCGACGATAAAGATAATTCTTTTACTTGATTTTTTCCCATTGCTTCGCTCTCTCTCTCTCTCTCTGTGTGTGTGTGTGTGTGTTTCGTTGAGGTTGGACGAGCAAAATTGATACATATGTGAATGTTTCAACATCGTTGGGGATTTCTTAGTTGGAAAAGAAAACCGGCGCTAAAAACAATAGCACACAAAAGAATCTGATGAATGCTTAGCAATCATATTACATAAGGAGTGAGTCACTTGAATGCCGTGCATCAGCAGCGCCCATAATATGATGATCGATGAAGAATGTACATGGTTTTGGTGTCGAACGGAGACATGATGATATGTGTGCTTGAGTATGCATGTGTGTGTGTGTGTGTCAACGAGCAATGCCAGCGAATTCAGAAAAGTACCAAACTGACAACGTGATACCCATGATTGTTAGCAACGCAACGCAACTCGAAATGAGTCGACGGGAAAACAGAAACGATAAATGATGTATCCAAACTGACTGCAAGCACGAAAATCCCATAACATATTTTATTGTCGCATTGACCGATTTCCCGAATGGTCGCGTTCCGAGAATTTCCTCGTTTTATTTCGTTTTTGGTGCACAAATGTCGTCCCGTTCTCGATCCGTCGGTGTTTTATGTGCCAGTGCTTGTGATTGTGCCGAGAGAGATGTGTGAGTGGTGGTTTTTCGGATTTAGCCTTTTGCAGCACATGGCATTTTCACTATTTCAATGGTGTTTCCGTTTCCAAATATAGTTTTTATGTTTCTTTCATTTTTTTTTTCTTCTCTTCTTTTCTGGGGCCAATCGTTAAATTGTGTTGAGCTGCTTGAGCTTTATAAAAATGATTTCAATGAGCCAAATAGCCGAGCAACAGCAGAAAATTAGACATTTTTATTGAAGATCTTGTTGACTTCAGGTAATCCAATGGCAAATACAATACAACAGGAACATTCGATAACAAAAGGAACAGAACGGAATAAATGAGCTCACAACGGAGAATAAACGTTTGCCAAGTAGCCAGCTAGTCAGCCACAGAGGCACGACTACTGTCCGTTCGGGTTGGTAGCGTTGCAAAGGGAAATAAGAATACCTGAGCGAAATTCGCTTACAAATTTTAACCATATTTACAAATGGAGTGTGCCCAATTCTAAGAACCCATGGCCGAAATCAAGAACGTCGAGTCCTTTTCTCGATTCGATGCGTCTCCTTTTTTTTACCATGCAACCCTTATTTTCAACATGAATGAGCTTTCACCGATATTTTCCCTCCAATTTTTATTATGGCAATTCCGTTTTTTTATAATGATTCTGAGAACTGTCTTTCATTTCTCTCTGACTGCCATATGATTTCGGGCCAATTTTCATTCTGTCGCCGAACAGGCGGATGCATTGCGACCAACAATAAGGTATATACATAATAATAAATAGATAGTTCGAAAAGGAATCACTCGATTGGGGGAAAATCGTTCTTCGTTCGGTAAAGATTTTGTCGGTTGTTGAGTACAAAAAGAAGAAGCAGGAGAAGAAGGAGAAGAAGGAGAAGAATGAATTATGTGCTTGGCTTTGAGAAATAAATCGTTTGTTATCGCTTAGGCCTTTTCTTGTTCATGTCAACCGCACCAATAATAAGGAATCGAGGTCAATCCAAAGTAATATTTTTAAATCAGCCAACACAATCGCAGGCCAACGCAAAATTGCTATATACACAATAGGAGACAGCAAACGGCCAGCATGGGCGCGTTTAACCGAAAAATTCGACTCGAAAGGGTCGGATGACTCGTTTTTGGCATGCGGCGAATGCAAGTGATTAAATACTCGGGCGAGAGAAAATAAATAAGAAGAGCATTCCATTTCAACTGCGTCGAAAACGATGATTTATTATTGCCATCGTTTTTCTGTGTGTATGAAATGGAATACCACCATTGATGCTGAGACGAATCGGAACAATGTAGGGATGAAACATAGGAACAATGATGGGTCTCATGCCGTATAAAACTCATCACAGCAACAACTTATCTATTTAACTTTTTGCGTCGCTCAATTTTGCCTCTCCATACCATTAAAAGAAGTTGACGCGTACAAAACGTAGTGACACCAAAGAAAAATCAACGAAATGGCAGGAAAATGAAACTAGAAAAACTTCAACGCGACTTTTTTCCCCTCTGCTGTAGCATCCATCGACTTGTAACTCTTGAATTATTACAATATGTAGCCCCTTTATCTCAAAGCATTTCTGAAGCACTGACATTAATTTCACTGAACTGAAAAGCTGTGGTGAGTAGAAAAAAAAACAACCCAAGCATTTGTTCTTTTAATCAAGTTCGTTGCTTAACTTCAACGTCAAAGCAGTCAAATGTGACAATCAAAATTAAATGTTGGTTGCAGAATCGATTTAACGCGAATTGTGACGGCACAGATGGCCAAGTGCTCTTCTGAAGGATGTAATTGATTTTCCAAGTACGTCATGCTTTCAATAGACTTTTCTCGAGACACCGAGAGCAAAATTGTAACGTCAACATTTCGAGCTTTCTTTTACACACACACACACACACACACACACACACACACACTCTCTTTCTCTCTCTCTCTCTCTCTCTCTCTCTCTCTCTCTCTCTCTCTTTCCTCTCCTTCGACTCTTTTATATTGGTTTTTGTGACTTGATTCAATATTTGGGCCAACGTTTATTTGACATTGCTTTTCCGTAATTGCGTTTGATTTTTACTCTATCGAGCACATGATGTGTTTGCAATGTTCGCTTTTTACATAGTTGAAATTCGGTTAGATTCTTAATTTGACTAAAAGTTTTCATTTCATCATGAATTAGTGTTTTTGATGCTTTTCTTTTCGTTTGGATGGGAGAGGTAGGTTAAAGGAATACTCACCGTTTTATTTCCTAAATTCTTCACTCGGCAATTTAAGTAGGCTGTTTTTCCCAAAAGTGCGGTGACATTTTTCGAGGCCGCTTTATCAAAATACGGTCCCACTTTGAATGCGTCCAAATCGAGGGCATTTTGCTTGGAACCATATGCACCGGGATTATTATCTTTTGAGCTGGATGAATCACGCTGCGATGCGGACGCTAAAGGAAGATAAAGAGTAAGAAAAAAAGGATCAAAAGTTAGTGAACACATCTATACATTTCTATAGAACAGCTTGAATGCTAGAAAATTGAAAAGGTGACTTCTGAAACAAAGATTCGGCTGGAACTCTCTCTCTCTCTCTCTCTCTCTCTCTCTCTCTCCCGGCTCCGTTTGACACCACCATTGAAATTAATTTTGTGAAAAGCTTCGTTCTGTTCAATTTCACAAATGAAATCGATTACATCTACTCGGAAGTTTGTGCTTTGGATAGCATCAAATAAGACAAAAGAAACACTAGGGATAAAGCAACGCAGAGAGCAAGAGACTAGATAAAAGATCCGCATCCGATGTCACAACTTTAATTATTGTAAAATAGCGCCTTGAAAACCAAATCATCGACACAAATCCAAATGGATTTCGCAATTTTCTTCCTTTCTTTCTTCTTTTTTGCTAATCAAAGTGCTTCGCAATTACATAGCTGTTTAATTTTTTTTTGCACACAATGGTTCAAAAAGCGAGAATGATACCGAGAAGGAAAAGAAGAAAAATAAACGGGTCTGAAAGAAGAACAATTAAATCGAGTGAACGCTGAACGAGTGAATTGTAGTTCCGTTTTGTCAGCGATCGGATTATCATCACATAATAAAGTTATTTGTCCAACAGAGACGACGCAGTCGTACACATTTCGATCCGTAGATGTCAATGGGAAATGCGATGAGTCGACAGAAAATTAAAAAAAAACAATGGTCAAATCGTTCATTTGATTTGTTTCGCACGTTACGCGAATACAGAAAGCACTGCTTTGTCTTGAAATTAATGACCAGAGCGTCTTTCATTTGTTGGGATTTCTCGTTTATTTTTCTCCTCTCTTTCTAATTCGTTCAACTCATTTTTGTCACTTGAAACATTCAACGGCAAAATGGCTAAAGAAAACTGTTAAAACCGAACCAAATGAAGTGCAAACTCTCGTTAAATAAAAATGGTTCGGACAAAAAAAGAGAGGGCAATAAAAGGCAGCGATTTCCTTTTGACATCGATGCACAACGCAAAAATAGAAGCAAGTTCGTTTGTTAGCGACATAAATTCCGTTTTTTTTTATTACAGCCGAGCGTTTGACTTGATCCGCAATTAGTAATGTTCGTTTCGAATTTAAATTTTTCCGTAATAAATCTAGCACGCGCCGAACACTCAACTTAATTAAAGTCGATGCGATTGCACGGGAATTCCCCATTTTCTCATTTGGTACTCACGAATCGTCGCCACATTTTACGGCCACATCGAATGGGATCGTGTGTGTGTGTGTGTGAATTATTTCGATGTGTGTGTTAATGCGCCAAGAAGTGCCAATAAAATTCACAACGTCGACGAGAAATACAAATCATCAGTAATGAAAGTGCACAAAATGTGTGCGAAGCGACGACCATAAGACAAAGTCGTCAGCTCAATTCGAATTATATGTGAACGCTGTTTTTTAGTTGGTAATTTTCGGTTGATGTATCGATAGATAGAACCCCAAGCCGATTTGTATTCGCTGTTAAATAAATTGAAATGAAAGCCGTGGTGGGTTTCGCACGCAGTGCGATAATCATTCGATCGTGTGGTAATGATAGTGTTCGGAATGTAATTACGTCCTCACCATTAATTGATTAATGGGAAATTAATAGAGTAATTGAGATGCATCGGCATCAAGACGTATGTAGCATTGCTTCGCATGATACGAAAAGCGGTCCTTTTTCGTGTTGATGTTAAGCGATTTACGATAAGCGGCATTGAGAAAGAGGAATCGAATGTGGGAGCAAATGGGAGAGCGAGAAGAAAAAAAAAACAAATTTGGCGCTGTTAACTGCTGGTGAATGGTGTAGGACTGTGATAAAGAATATAATTAATCGTTTATCTTTGGTGAAATGCGTACACACATATTAGTCAAGTGAACGTGAAAATCTCTTGGTTATTGGTCGTCCTTTAATTTATAGGCAGTCAATGTACTACTACGACGACACAACCATTATTCGAATGTGTCGAATTTCAAAAGCCGCCACCGACAACGACGACAATATTGGTATCGCATGCGATAAACGCGCGTTTGACTGAAACAATTTTGACATTCTAGCGGGTATTACACACTCAATTAATTTATACATCGAATTACAACGTCAAAAATTGATAAATTGGCGCACAAACAAAACGCCTTCTTACATCCAAACAAAATTTCCATCCATCGAAAGCCAAACAAAAATTACGACCTTCGCGAAACGGCGTCTAAATTACAGTTTTTCCCTCCAGCAAAAGTGGGTATTTAAAACACAAAGTGTTTATTGGCATTGCCATTTTAAACTGATGTGCATGGTCGCGCGCGCGTCAACGAGCTAAAACAATAATATTCCACGCAAAAGTTTATTTTTCCAAGTGAATGACTTTGGCTTTGATACACACAATAAATTACCATTTGTCGTTTTCCGTTTTTCGCCATTTTATTCCTTTTAATTTCATCCGTTGAATTTTTATTGACAATAACTTTTTCTCTCCGGCGCTCGTTCGCTCACTGTGTCCCTCTCCCCGGCCTTTCTATCTCTGTGTTTGAGTTTGAGTGTAGCATTTGCATCAAATTGGGCGGGTTGCAGCCAACTCATTAAAAATAGCGGGCACATTGAAATGAATTAATCCCACCCTCGCCACGCTGTGCCCAAATAATTGATTGGTAATTTTCAGTTTTTCAACTTTGCCGCATAAATTGTTGCTGACTCATGCCATATAATTTTGATAATAAGCAAATAAAAGGCCATTTTCCAATGGAAACGCTTTGAACCGAAACATACAATGTAAACAGAAAGTTAATTAGCATTGGCGACTGTGATTATTTTCTATTAATTGAATGAAATGTTTCTGGAAAATACCGAGTGACACACAAATTGTTTTGTGTGGCATTTCCATTACATTATAATCTCTGTTCGTGGGGACAGAACGAGAAACAAATGCTTTATTCCGAATGTTTCAGCTAAGACAACTTCAAATTGCAAAGTAAATACAGCTGAATGCATTGGTTTCTAGTGAATAACGCAAAATATTCCGTTGATGTTAAAGCACAATCAACATATTGAATTCACAGCAGCATAGCTATTCGTTTGGAAAATCAATTTTGTCAGAGAATTATTAAGTGAATGCAATTTGAAAAGGAAATTTCTGAAAATGATTGCATTGGAGCAACGGAAAAGAAGGATTCTTACTTATTTTAATCAATGACAAAATAAAAAATATCAGACACACAGATCACACTGTACAAACATACTTCCTTGGCATTTCAATTTCCGGTGAAAATGATTTCGTTTTTGTTTTTCCCTCATTCATTCTCTGTGTTATTGAATTCTCCGTCTCTGGGTGAGCAGTGCGCACATCACATTGCCATTGGCACCACTGGGAGTTACGCGGGACATAAGGAATGGGACGGAAGAGAGACAAAAATAAAGAAATATCAGCTCAATGATTGAACGGACGTGCATCATTTTCAATATCTTTGCAATTGGATGGTGAACTAGTTGATTCACTGTGTCTTATGTGTATTCAATGGGATGCTTCAACTCAATGTGGACGACGACGACGACGACGAATGCGTGTGTATGTGTGTACACTTCCGCTAGTGAAGAAATATATATATATATATATATATGTATATATATATTTAATCAAAATTACAATTTCCTTGTGAATGATTCATGATCATTCATCATAAATAGATGAGAAAAATGGTATGATACAAAAGCGCGCTCAAGAGTAATAAATGAAATTACATGTATATTTTTTGCTGCTGATGCTTTTGTCATGGTCCAACCTGAAAAGGTGAAAGACAAACACCATCTCGCACTGTGTACTGAGGGTATTTAGTGATGAACACACACATATCTCCACACCGAAGCTTCGTGTAAACAAAACCAACTGAAAATCCTTCGGAGTGGAATGAATTTGTGTCAAAACGACAGAGTCGCCATTTTCATTTATCAAATGAATTTTTTAACGGGGTGAGAAACAGAGAGAGAGAGAGAGAAAAAAAAATTCACAGTCAACCTGGACAGTATGGCGCCGTTGGAATTCAGACGGAGAAAAAAAACTAAAAAAAATGGATTTTATATTTTGTAGCCCGTGAGCTGTGAATAAAATTCAACCATGTAATGCGTAGGTAATTTTTCAAACTAGTGAACAGCAATGGAAAGAAATGTGCATTTAAAGTGGCTGATCAAAATTAAAATCTAACACGGAATTTATTTCGTACACAATAATACGTGTACATTGCAAATGTTAAACCCTTTTATTCAACATTATTTATCCGGACAAAATGTGAATTTTTATGAAGATAAATCGAATTCTAATGCAATAAATGGAGATGGTTCTATGTGCGAATGGTTTCAAGTGTCTGTCGATACACAAGCGAAATAAGAGAATCACTTTTGACTTTATTTTATATAGTGTATCAAAGGGATTCATGCTTTGTTTTATGGTCGTACATCTCGGTTGGTTTCGTTTCTTTTTTCTCTATTCACTCCATCTCCATTTTTCGTTACATCAAATTATGTTTCAACTCGATCTTTTTTGATAAAACAAATGGGAAAAGCATAAACTAAGAGAGAACGAGTCGCTCGTTGAAACGGTAAAATGTATCGCTAGTCACAGAAAGATTCAGTTGCCAAGTTTTTTTTTCACTTTTTTCTGTGTTGATTTCTTTTCTTCGTTGTGTATAGTTGCTGAAAGCAGTCGAGTCATTGCACCACGAAATAACGAGCGATGGAATGACACAAGAACAAAACACGTTGAATGCAAAAAGCAACAGTCACTGAAGTTGAAAGCAAAACATCGTATTCATCTTTATCAAGTGCTTTTCAAATTTTCTCCATTTTCCTTTGATTGTTATATGGGGTTATGTGTGTTTGTGCCACTTTCATAGTTGATATTTAGCTATTGCTTAAGCACACCAACTACTTTCGTTTCGACTTGGCATTCGACAAAAAGA